TAATGTCATTTGAATTAAATCCTCTTCAATTGATTAGTTCCTAGTTAGCCAAATTCAATAAATTTGGCGTCCCGTTTCAAACGAAGAACGTATTCAATAACTGGCGAAATGTGCATTCACTAGTTTTTTTCTTCGGTGCTATATTTCTCAGTATTAATTGACATATATGGTCAAACGTCATTCCCTCCATCTGTTTTGGGTGTGCAATTGCTGAAGATTTTATAATAGCCTCAGAACCAGCAGTTGCCAAAAAGAGATCAGTTATGTGGTTTTCTCCCTCAACTGATTTCAAATCCTTCATCTTTTTTGTTCTAGATTTAGCTACTGGAATCCTAGACCACGCTTGTCAGTACTCACAATGATTGAATGATAATCGTTAGATCGGTTTTTAAATATCGGCTTCCTTGTAAATGAGTCACGTCAAATGAAGAACATGCAGCCGGTTAACTGTAATTGTGGCGTTAGCGGGGATCAAATTTCTTCAAATTTTAACAAGTTTAATCATTTTTTTTCCTATCGCCTACTTCTGTAGTATTGCGTTTACCCTACCTACCAATAGTTGATAATTTTTTTTAAGGTAAACAGCGTCTGTTCTAATTACTCTCCAGGGAAGGAGGACAATTTGTTCTCCTCATCACTACTTATTCTTTTCAGCTCTAAGATGATCGGTTATAGATATAAGTTGCTATAATTTCTTGATCTCTTTTTTTTTTATTTTCTGAAAAGCAATGAATTTGGCAACTCATATTACGGAATGCTGACCCCCACCACGCATAAAATGATTGCCTCCTCCATCTGTAAATGTGACACAAACTAATTTTAATGTGGGAAGAAAAGCTTCTATCATCGGACAGCGCTGGAGTTGATCTATCAGTGAAGGATTCCCCATTTGTTGATACCCGTAGAGTCAAGTATGCTTCGAACGGTCTGAAACCTCACACCACTATAGCACATAATGACCCCTTTTTTCCTATAAGTTTAAAGCTACGGTCTAGAATAACAACTGCGAAGAATTATTTGAATTTAGGTTTTGGAATGCTCTGTATTTTTATTTAAGCCAAACCAATAGATTAACCGTTTACATTTGCATTAAGTCAATAATCTCCATCGGCAAATATATGCCATGAGGAATCAGATAACTGCTAGAAATACCCAAGTGAACGTTGTTGACATATCAGTTTCTATCCCAATAGGGATTAAACAGTGATATGTCAGGAGTTTCCTATATAAATATTTTTCTGCTCTGCGAAAAAAAAAAAAACAGTAGAAGCTTGCCAAAAGGTCACCGTCACGCACCATTCTGTAAAATTCCAGAGATTCGTCGAAGAAAACATGATTTTATCTAACATTGGGAGAACCGTCCTCACAGCCAATGAAGAACCGTCCTGATAAAGCGCAGGATCTGCAGGGACATTATTGAACAAACCAGGGTACACAGGGAAGGCAGAGTAATATAATCGATACAAGCCAATAATCTAAAGGTCGATTTAACCTGGTGGTATACCGCAGATTTTTTTGCTAGCTGCAGATGAGGTTAAAGCAAACAATTCAGCCTGTATCTAACCTTTCAAGTGACATTTATTCTGAATGTGGAATTAATATACATGTCTATACTTTGAAGTCACTTGAAAACAAGTTTAATTTCACATTTCATATGTGGAATGTCAAATTCTCTCAAATAACCTCAATGATCTTGATTACATTATAGCATATGTAAAATATTTTGTAGAAAGAAAATACTATGTACTGAAGTTACCTGTACCCTTTAATTTAATTTTAAAGAATTTAAAAATATTTTTGAAAGTAAAATAGATCGACCATCCCAACTTGTGTCATAGCTTGCAAATGTTAAGCCTCAGCTTTGTCATAAAATATAAGTTTAACGTTAATCGTTCAATATAATCGCTTTACTTAAAGTGTTGCTCCACGCATATGTCAGAATGATTTAACTCTAATTAATACATAGAGATCACCTGCCTTGGACGGGGAAAATTCAAATATGCTGAATTAACGTTCATTACCAAAGTTAGGATGGTTGTCTCCGTTGGTAGTTGCATCATTAAAAGAAAAAAAAAAAACTTGTATGCTCTGACTTTGTAAACGTCATCAACGGTTTTTTCATTGATTTGAATTCTTAAGCGTTTCTAATTTCTTTGCATTGTTTTACTTAAATTAAATGAGTGACCAAAACTAGCAACAGCATGTTGAAATAATTCCATGAAATAATTCATTCGTTGGAACTAGAATTTTTTTCTTTTAATTAACGATCATTACATTTTTCCCGATGACACAGTGAGGATCAAACTCACTATAATGGATCTAGCGATTACAAACATGCTAACCATTACACCATGTCGATGCGCCTAATGACCCTGCTTTATAATTTAGTAAGTATTGGAATATAAATCTTGTCAGTATAGAATACATTTCGGTTTATGGACATATCAGGTTGAATGACCGAAGTTAAGCAACGTCGAACCTGGTCGGTAACTAGATGGAATTTCAAATGTTGTAAGTTTGGATGTGCGGGTCGTGTAATGGATAACGGCTCGGAATTGTTAATCAGAGTGCCGAGTTTCAAATTCAGTTGCGTTCTTTATATTCACCTTCGCTGAAATACCCTTGTGAAATGTATTAACGCGCCTCTTCCTCACAGCTAAGTGTTAATTAATAAGACGTTTATCCTGAAATCTTTAGGGATAAAAAAATCCCCCCCCCAACAAAAAATGTTACCGTTTCAAAATATATTTCTGTCTTTGAATAAGCCTTCAAAAGAATGATAAGCCGTGCAAAAACGAAATCTGTCAATCAAATAACAGTTTTATGGAACTTTCGATTATTAGTTACTTAACTGTTTTTGGCTTATCTTAAAACATTGAAAAAAAAGCGGCCATTCAATTAGCATTGCACAGTCTTTATTGGTGATATGATCGTCAGATCTAGACTCACACACGAATGCCGTGCATAGCGTGCAATCCGTTTAAAATGCCTGAATTATCATCTGCATGCAGGGGATGTACATGTTGTGTAAGGGATATCGATGCTAAAAGTGGATGCGGCAAGTAAATTTCAAATTCTGGACTAGTTTCATTCATTTTTTTTTTTTTTGCAGTAATAACTTTTTGAAATGAATGAATCCATCTCCTGTACTCTAATGTACGACAGGGTCTCTTGCATTAGGTGACAGTCTAAAGGCTTAATTCCATTTTATATGGAGACAAGCGATGTTTCAAATAACCGGGTCCGATTTTAAATGTGAATTAAATTTAAGCGTCTAATGATTTTTTTTTCTTTCAGAATTGGCGGACATTTGGACAATATTGTTTTTCACACATAATTGCCATGACTTAAAGAACATGATCTAATAGAGAAATAAATAAATTTTTACCAAAAACACTAATTTATTTACGGCTGCCTTTGAACCGTTTTAATAAAGCATCATTAAATATAATCCGTCTTAATAAAACACTCTTTATTATATAACAATACATCTATATATGAACGTTGTCTCCAGTGAGTGAAGAAAATAGCTTCAGTCGGGAAGACTTCATCAGACTCTATAGATTGTTGATGCACAAACGGAAACAATTGTGTAGCCCACGTAACTAGAAGAGAATATGTGTTGATGAATGTGTTTAATTTCCATGAAACAAGCGTTTAGAAGGAAAATACACAATACTATAAATGGGATAACAGTTAGTGGACGCCAGTAGTCTTTTCTATTTGCGTCTCTCTTCAGAACGTTGGCGAACATGTGTCTCCACAATTTCCTATCCATTGTATCTCATAATAAATTTCGCCTTAAACCCTGCTCCGCGAAACATTTACTCAAACTTTTTACTTTAGGTAGGTTGTTTGCGTCTGTCCTTCTTGCTTTCAATTTGTCCTCATTAAGTAATGTCAACTGTCTATTCTTGATGTTCATTGTACGTGTCCTTTTTTTGTTTCTACTATTAAAAGTTTGTTGCTGCTCACAAGTTCGGTCCTTGTTATTCTCAGCATCCTTTTGAAGAACTACAGTTCTGTTGCTTCAAGTCTCTTCTTCATCTGTGGTGTGATTTTCTAGCGTTCGCTGCCATATAGGATACATGACTTTTTAACAAGGTAAGGGCATGCGTGTTTCCTTCCTTTGCACGGGACTATTCACGGGACTGAAACTTATTACAATAGCTGCCATTACTTCAAGCTCAGACAATGACGCTCTTCTGGTATGAATGATAACACATGATGAAATGGCCAATGATTTAGAAACTTTTATCAAAATAACTACTCTCCAATTGCATAAACTTACTAGCCTCAGGTAAAAGTGATCATCATCATTAAGTAATACTGAATGTTCAATGTTGTTCACTCTCTATATATACACACACACACATATATATATATATATATATATATATATATATATATATATATATATATATATATTTTATATATATATATTCATGAATTATTCATACAAAAAACAAATACAAAGGTTAATGATTTAATTGGCGAGAAATCCACCGTCGCGAACAATTCAAATAATATACAAAAACCCCGGACCTGTTTATGAATGAAAAGATCCTTGTTTCTATAAATTTCTGTTGCATGAGTTCTTATTATTTTTACAAGCTTTCGTCTGTTCCTACAGACATCCTCAGGTATGGAATAGATTTTGTTCTTGTTTTTACTCTCAGTAATAAGAGGACAACGAAAATATATGTATTGTTGTAATCCGAAAAATGCTATTGGAAATGAGTTATTGTTTTTGGAGCGTGCAGTCGCAAATTTGAATTTAAATTTTACAATTGTGCGTTCTCATACAAATATGGTGATAAGTGAATTCTTTTTTACTGGTAAATTTTCTGTCATACTATATACTAAAATCAGAGTCATTTACTGGGTTGAACCAGCAGAAATCTTTTTGAACTAAAGTTGATCATTTTATTCTGCCTCCACGCGCACAACACTACTCACACGCATTGACACTACTCACACGCGCAAACACATACTAAAAGCTCACAGGAGAATACCCTGCTACATATCCATTTCTCTCTGTCTCTCACTCTCTCTATCTATCTCTCTATCTATCTATCTATCTAGCTATCTATCTCGATTTGCATAACAAGCAACTCAGTGTTATCAAGAAACAGATTGCATCGGCGCAAGACACATAATGTTGTAATTACTCAGATACCGCAATCGTGTTATTTGTTATGGAAAGCAGATGTGTTTATCTAGAGTTGTTCACTTTGAATTTCAGAAACACTGCTCTTTCAGTTGCAGAACAGCGAGCTGCATTCAGAAATCCATCTTGAACATTGTCATCTTAAATGAATAACTAGAAATGATCTCTCCTATAATATTCCAAACTGCCATATAAAATGCATAGGTATTTTGTTTATTATATAGTCGTTAAGTTTGGAGAAATAAACATGAAAAAATAAGAAAAAATCGTGTTCTTCGTGACATCCTTTAGAATTTAATTGGAATAAATTACCTTTTACGTTGATGCAACTACACATGCGTACAAATGAAAAGGGACACTGAGAATTTTTAAATTTAAATTATTTTTCTAATTTATGTTTTCAACATTTTGTCTACCTGATTTCCTTCAATCTATTTTTTTTTCAGTTATTATTAAATATCCCATGTTTTAATAATAGAAACTCTAAAAATATATGTGTGTTATTTAATAACAAATAGTTAAAACACGAAGAAAAAGAAAAAAAAAAACTAATTGAAATCTGCTAGACACGGCACGTAAAAAAAACGATTTAAGTAAAATCGTTTTTTTTACGTGCCGTGTTCCCTTCAGGACGTAAGCGTTCATGACCCTCCACATCTTCTGTCCCTGGTCGCTCTTAATAAGTTTTGTCTTTTTGTTATTTTCCCCAAAACCTTTTCTACCATCCACTTACTCACGGTCATCAAGTATCTTACGCGCTGCTTTCCTCTGTCCCTCTATGTCTCAATCTGGCCCGTATCAGATTTCTGAAGCCGTTTTACCTGCCCTAGATATTTCGACGGCCTCTTCCTGATGATATATGTGTTTCCTTTTTCTTTCCATTTCCTCTACAACCTGGCTCTTCCTCATCTGTTAGGTCCATAGTATCCCCAGCATCCGTCTGTAGAACCGTATTGCTGTTGCTTCAAGTCTCTTCTACATTATTGAAGAGATGGTGGAGCATTCGCTGCCGTACAGGAAGACAGATATCGCGTAACAGTTTAACCTCTTTTTTCGTTTCTTGTGATATTTTTCTATCTCTTAATTCTCTGCTTAGCTTTTGGAAGGCATCTTTGGCTATCGCAATAGTTTTCGAATCTGAGTGTAACACTTTCTTTTTTTCTTTTCTCTGTTTGAAAACTTTTCAGATATTTAACGTATTGTATTTGTGATTTTCCCATTCTCGATTTGTAATTTTCACTTTGAGCTGATAACTTTCCATTCTGCGAGACTATATACCAAAAGTCAGTCAGTCAGCATTTTTTGTTGAGATATGCACCGCATTTAACAATACATAAGACTTGCTCATTCACACTCAATCACTCAGTTATGTGCCATGCGTGATACACGCTTAGGCGATCATGTATCTTTCGATACATCAATGAGGAGGCAGATTTTTCCCCATTAGTAGGTTGCCATTTCTTTCAGCTGTAGACCGTTTGGTATCCAAGCTATAGAACCTGGTCTGTCCTGCTATTTACACATAGCTGAGGAGAGAAGAATAGGATTCATACTTTTTTCCCAAGGGTATTAGCCCGTAATTGAATGTAATGGATTCGAATGGAATTCGAACGGCTCTCTGATTCCACAATCCGTGCCGCTCTCCATACCAAAAGGATATTTTTAAAATAAATATATTTCAATTTTGCAATTTTCAGCATCCTATCTCATTGCTACGCATGTATAGTTGCATCAACATAAACATAACTTTAAATCGATGAGGTCGTAAAGAAGGTAATGCATCATGCGAAAACATTTACAGATTTTCCATAGTTTTTCCTAAAATTGTTATTGATATATAATATTTTATATATCGTTTTCCAATAGACATTAATGTAATTTCACTGAATTCTACGTCGTAGCGTATCATTTTCAGTAGAATTTTGTATTCTTTTTTTTAATAAATATAACCCAATTTTGATTTAATGAATTATTCGATATCACCAAATTGCTGGAAACCATTGTGCAAAATGGAAAACTTTTCAATATTTCAAAATGAATAATAATGCGAAGTTGACAGGTCAGGAGTACACGCTGGGTTGGAAATAATTTACACTTCCAGTTTCATGATTGATTTCTGCAAGGAACATGCAACTTAAGGGCAGTAGTTTGCTTTCTTTTCAAACACGTTTGTACTGAACAAATTGTTTACTACTTTCTTGCTCAATAACATATTGTTCACGTTTCAACAAACCGCGAAAATCAATTCCTTTTGAGATTTCAGCAAATAAAAACCACAGTATTTCCCCTTGTTGATTCTGTGTTATTTAAATTTGTCCACAGGCTATTCATAATATTCCTTTACAACTCATGTTATAAATCCATATTTAATTCAGTAACTATCCTGTTCAACGATGTCGGAAAATGACAGGCGTTTAAATACTGAACAAAGTTCATTGATAGATTGATTTATTTCGGATTATAAACCTTTTGCAGGTTATTTAACTCCAGTAAATATTTCAGATTGTAAAAATTGTTTTAGAGATAATCCCGATTTACTTATATAAGGTCTACTAATTAGTCCATAGCGGTTGATAAACGGTGGATTCATAACTTTCAGAGGAGTATGCGTAAGTTAATATAAAGGACGGAAGAAGAATTGGAACTTAGCTCTTCGAGTTTTCAATAAAAAAGCCGTTATCCGATACATCAGCTACGCAACCAAGCTTACATCAACTGGTACATTTAAGCGATCAACCATCTAGATACTGACCAGGCTCGATGTTGCTTAACTTCTGTGCAATGATCATTGCATTTAGTTCATAGCGGGACTTCCTACATTTCATTTTGAACGATGAACCTTTCCCGAAATTCATATCAAAATTCTTTGTTAATTCGAAATGTTTATATGTATTAAAACAATTTACAGCGTAAATATAATTCATTCAACAAACGTCTATTTCCCTGACACTGTGCCAAAAAATGCACTGAGAAGTATTCATCAACCTCATTATACTGAAATAGCAAAAATATTATGTAGATTTGCAGTGTTATAAGTGTTACCTAGTATATACAGTAATTTTACTGTTCAAGAGAATAACGTCCATGTGAAAGTCATTGGTACCTAAATTACTAAGTTAGTAATTCAATAACTTTCATACTATACACTTGTGTCATTGATATCAATTCAATTGCTTCAGTAGGCTCCATGTTACCAACCTGTGTCCATTGATACGCATTCTCCTGCCAATCGGCTTCGTGCTATCAACCTATGTCATTACTACCTAGACTAATATTTCAATAGCCTTTGTGCTAACAATGTGTGTCATTGTTACCTAGCCGACTGAGTCAATACGCTTCGTTTCTATCAACCAGTGGCATTGGAAACTAACCTAACGTTTCAATAGGCTTCGTACTATCGAACAGTGCTCAATACACAATCTTTAGTAAGATTGTGAGGGAATGACTGGGCTAGGTTTAGGATGTATGGCAACGTGCGTGAATCAAACACTGAGTGAAGCTTGGCATATCTATTACCGAACATATCCTAATACTATCGTCAGCAATATAATACCCATACTTTAAATCGAAACCAGTTTTTTTTCCCGTCACGGGCATTTCAAGCCCGTTCGTTTGACAGTTCAATATGCCAAGCATTTAGTACGAAACGCCAGAAAATATGGACGGAATATTTGAACACATTTATGAGGATCGTATTGGAATAATCGGCAAACTCAATCAACCTGCTGTAATCAGTTATTTATTTTGCTAGACAACACGTGCTGGGTGGTTTAATATGATTCTTGTTATTTCCAAGTTTGTTTTCTTTTCCTCTTGCTCCAGGCATTCAATAAAAAGAAAACTTATCTTATTACGAAGCTGGCATCGCTGTAAATTGGGTTCGATGGTTAAATTGTTCACATTATATTATTTTTTACATTTCGCGCATGCGCGTGTTCGTTTTTTTTTTTTATATATATTATTTTGCCGACTGCACAGTATATTATGCTCAGTTAGGTACCGTCTGTGAGGGAAAAGTGCACCATGACGCAATTCACTCAGCTCCAATACGAATATTTCAGTGTTTGGAAGTCAGAGGGTTCAGAAACTGTTGGATGGGTTTAATGAAAATTACGAAGCTGGTAAAACTCACTCTGATCGTTCTGACAAGAAAAGAACTCTCGAATGTTTTGGCACGAGACTCTTGAAGTGCCTTGAGGAAGTTAGTGCTGCGCTGGGTCAAGAGGGTGGCTGCTGGAAGACCCCATGTCTATCAACAGGACTCTGCACCATGACGCACAAGCAGGATGACCAATTCATGGCTGTCAGAAAAATTCTGGGACCACATCACCCCTTACGTCTGGACACGTAACTCCCCTTGATTATTATGTGTGGGGTGCAGTTGACCGCGAGACCAACAAAAGTTTCTTGTAAACTTCTAAATGTAGCCGTCTCTTCTACTCCAATAGCTTCATTCTCGTACCTCTCGCCTGTGGAACTCCCTTCCCTATTCCAGTTTCCCTGAGAGCTATAATCTCCAGATATTCAAATGTAATGTCAATCGACATCTCCAGTTGCCTTGATCTATCCACTATCCTTCTCCTCATCCTTTCCTCTATCACTCCTATCTGATCTTGCTCCAAATTTTCTGTAGCACCTAGTTTTAGTGGCTTCTCGCCTTGCTTGGGGTGAAACGCTTAAAAAAACCCAAAAAAACATTAAAGATGAACTGAAGGCAGCACTTATGTCAGCATTCACCAACTTATAGAAAGAAAACTGTCCAGAAGACATGTAGGAGGTTCCGATGTCGTCTAGAGTTCCTGGTTGAAGCCATCTGCGATTTTATTGAATAAATTTACTCTTTAGTATTTCAAGATATTTTTGCGTAATTTTGCTAAATATATCTGTTAATATGAGATGTCGGTGTTATTTTCATTTTTGCGTGAAGATGAAAATTTATCAATCGCTCCCTGTACATTCCTAAATGATTTATATCGAAAGAAACTATGT